TCAGGGATCAGAGGTTCTTCTGTATGTGGTTGATGTTGTGGTTCTGATTCTGGTTCTGGTTGTTGTTGTATTTCTGGTTCAGGTTGAATTTCTGGTTCAGGTTGTGGAGGAGGAATATTTGGTAGTTCAGAATTTGGTTGAGCAGAAACATGTTCACGTTCAATATCAGCTAGCACTCTATCTAGTGCTGGTGTTGTTGAAACAGTTGGTTGTTTGGTAATTTTGATTCTGGGTCTTCTGAGTAGTAAGGCCTCAGAAGGGTCTTCTGGTATGGTTTCATCAATAGTAGGGATTTGGATGGATATTCTGTGAGAAGTTTTAGGAGGGGCAGCAGATGTTGGAATAGTAGATGAAATTGAAATAGGGGCAGCAGATGAATTACCTCGTTTCTTTGGAGTCTGATGAGATGATCCTTCTGCTTTCCTCTTCTTTGTCTTCTTCTGAGTCACTTCAGGTTGAACTTGACTCAGATCTTTGATCTTCAGCTTTGAACCTGCATCTTCTTCCTTGTATGAATCTGGATACTTGAGAAACATATCAGGTTGGAATTCCATTTCAGAAAATCTTGGGAAATTACTCAGAGGCACTCTTCTTCTGGAGATGTCAGCAGTTGAAGAAGCTCTGGGTTCCTTCCTGATATTTTCTATCAGCTTCATCTTTTTCAGGTTCTTAGCGTTCAGCGGTTTTCCAACAGTTGGTTCCATAGTGCCCAGCACTTTAGCTTCGCTCAGATAATCTATCAGATTATTCTCTGTCAGAATATCTGATATGAGCCTTCCAAACGGTATCCAGTCCCTTTTGGTCCTTTCTTCTTCTCTAGTCTCTTTCACACTAGTCTTCAGATGGTTGAACAGGAAGTGTGCCAGATTGATCTTCACCCTCTGATCAATAAAGTAGATCAGAAATTGCTGATCCACGTTTATATAATCAGGAGAGCTTGTTGGCTTCCTGTGATTGAAACAGCCCAGGACAATCTTGGCCCATACTCTGCAGTGATCCTTCAGATCCTTAATTTTGCTGCTGGGAAATCCAAGAGTGAAAATGCTGTTGGCTACCACACCTATATCAGGGCATCTGTCAGCCATGTCCACACAACGGACTCCACCACCACTTTGACCAATTAACCTAGCAATGAGGTCTTCAGAAATTATTATCTTCTTTCCCATGACAGAAGAGATGACTAGATGTTTATGAATCTTGGCGTGAATCCAAAATTCCTTGACAAGTTCTGGGAAAGTTGGTCCAACCAACCTATCGAAATACCTCTCCCACTTTTGAGCCCTAATCTCTTCAGTTAGGTCAAATCCATTTTCCTTCAAACTTTCGAAATCGATGATTAACTCAGAGAGAACCTCAAGATTCTTTACCGGTGTGAGAAGAGTTCTGGTAGGCACCTGATATTGCTCAGAAGTTTCTTTCTTCTGATTCCCTGCAGAAATGCTGGAGGATGCCATTGTTCTCACACAACAAAGATTTTAGAATGATTTGAGAGAAAAAGGTTTTGAAGGAGATAAACTCAGAAATATGCAGAAAGTTCTTGAGAGATTATGAGAAAGCGTAAAGAGTAAGAATGAAGAATAATGTGCTTAAATAAAGTTTTCAAAAAATTTTGAAAAATTAAACGTTTTTAAGAGAGAGAAAAAAAATAATGATTGCCATTAACAAGCGTGATTACTCTGCATTAAATGCTTGCTGATTTTGGGGGATTTGAGAAAGATACTTAAAACGGTTACCAGACATGTGTCTCAATGCACCCAATCAGCGCTTTCCTTTCTCAGAAGCGTGCACGCGTTCTGCTTCAGGAATTTGCTGATGATTGGATGACACTTGTTTGATGTAGTGATCAGCACGTCTGTATTTGAGATTAGACTCTCAGATCTTTAGACTTGCATCTGATACAATCTGCATGTTCTATCTTTTCTGAAAGAAGATTGATCAGAAGTTCACAGTAATATAATTACATTCTGAAGATAAATACATGGAATTAAAACATTTTCATTCTGGGCATACTTTCATGCTGAGATGTTTCAGAATGAAATTAAACCTATCTTCTGAAAGGGGTTTAGTAAAGATATCAGCCCATTGATGGTCTGTATCTATAAATTTCAAGTTTAAAATACCTTTCTGAATATAGTCCCTAATGAAATGATGTTTTATTTCTATATGCTTAGCTCTAGAATGTAAAATAGGATTCTTACTTAAGCAAATAGCAGAAGTATTATCACAAAGAATAGGAATGTTACTCTCAAAAATCTGGAAGTCTTCAAGCTGACTTTTCATCCAGAGCATTTGTGTGCTACATCCTGCTGCTGCTATGTACTCAGCTTCTGCTGTTGACAAAGCAATTGTTGATTGCCTTTTGCTGGACCACGAGATCAGATTTTCTCCCAGAAACTGGCAGCTTCCAGAAGTACTTTTACGTTCCACTCTGTCTCCAGCAAAATCAGCATCACAGTAGCCTACTAAGCTGTAATCACTAGATTTTCTATAAAACAAACCCAGATTAGTAGTACCTTTCAGATACTTGAAAATTCGCTTAACAGCTGTTAAGTGAGATTCTCTAGGATCTGATTGGAATCTAGCACAAATACATACGCTGAATAAAATATCAGGTCTTGAAGCTGTCAGATAAAGGAGAGAACCAATCATACCTCTGTAGACTTTCTGTTCTACGCTTTTGCTTACCTCTTCTCTTTCCAGAATGCACGTGGGATGCATTGGAATCTTTGATGGCTTACATTCTGAGAGGTCAAATTTCTTCAGAAGATCTCTGATGTATTTGCTCTGATGAATGTAAGTTCCCTCTGGAGTTTGATTAATCTGAATTCCTAGAAAGAACTTCAGTTCCCCCATGAGGCTCATCTCAAATTCTGCCTGCATACACTTAGCAAATTTTCTTCCAAGAGAAGGATTAGTAGAGCCAAAAATAATATCATCAACATAAATTTGACAGACTAAAATGTCACTCTTAACTGTTTTACAGAATAGAGTAGTGTCCACTTTCCCTCTGGTGAATTCATTTTCAAGCAGAAAGTTACTTAGCCTTTCATACCAAGCTCTGGGAGCTTGTTTCAGACCATACAGTGACTTTTTCAGTTTGAAAACATGTTCTGGATGTTTTGTATTTTCAAAACCTGGGGGTTGGTGAACATAAACTTCTTCTTCTATATAACCATTTAAGAATGCACTTTTGACATCCATCTGATACAGAGTGATGCCTCTATTAACAGCAAATGAGATTAAAAGTCTGATAGATTCTAACCTGGCGACTGGGGCAAAGGTTTTTGTATAGTCTATCCCCTCTTGCTGACTATAACCTTGTGCAACCAGTCGTGCCTTGTTTCTGACGACTTCACCTTGTTCATTAAGCTTGTTTCTGAACACCCATCTTGTTCCAATGACGTTGAATCCTTTTGGTCTGGGAACGAGATCCCATACGTCGTTTCTGGTGAATTGATTCAGCTCTTCTTGCATTGCCAGAATCCAGTCATTGTCCAGAAGTGCTTCATCAATAGAAGAAGGCTCAATCAGAGACACAAGTCCCATAAGAGTTTCTTCAGAGTTTCTGAAGCTTGCTCTTGTTCTGATTGGATCTTCCTTTCTTCCTAGAATAGTCTCTTCTGGGTGATCCAAACTGCTTCTGGGTACTCTCTTCTGAGGTTGATCAGCAGCAGTTGTAAGATTTCTAGCATTGCTTCTTTCAGACGTTGAAGGAATGTCTGTGTTGAGAGCTTCTGATGACTTGTCTTCAGAACCTGCAAATTCAATTTCTATACCTGCAAGATTTTCATTCTGCTTTGACTTTTCAGAGTCAAGCTTGTCATCAAAACGAACACTGATTGATTCTTCCACAATCTGTGTTTCTGTATTGTATACTCTGTACCCTCTTGAGCGTTCAGAGTATCCTAACATAATACACTTCTGTGCCTTAGAATCAAACTTGTTCAAATAATTCTTAGTATTTAACATATAGCAAGTACATCCAAATGGATGAAAATACGAAATGTTGGGCTTTCTGTTCTTCCACAATTCATATGGAGTCTTTTCCAGAATAGGTCTTATTGAGATTCTATTCTGAATGTAGCACGCTGTGTTTATTGCCTCTGCCCAGAAAGTCTTAGCAACGTCTGTCTCATTGATCATGGTTCTGGCCATTTCTTGCAATGTTCTGTTCTTTCGTTCTACAACTCCATTTTGTTGGGGAGTTCTAGGACAAGAGAAATCATGCAGAATGCCTTTGTCATTAAAGAATGACTCAAAATCTTTATTTTCAAATTCTCCACCATGATCACTTATGACTTTAACGATTCTAAGATCTTTTTCATTCTGAACTTGGTTACAGAAGGTAACAAACACAGAGTGTGACTCGTCCTTGTGTCTTAAGAACTTTACCCATGTCCATCTGCTATAGTCATCTACGATTACTAACCCATACTTCTTGCCACTGACAGAAGCAGTCTTAACTGGTCCAAATAAGTCAATGTGCAGAAGTTCTAATGGCTTAGAGGTAGAAACAACATTTTTGGATTTAAAAGAAGGTTTTGCAAATTTGCCTTTCTGACATGCTTCACACAGAGCATCTGAATTGAACTTCAAATTTGGAAGTCCTCTGACCAGATTGAGTTTGTTAATCTGAGATATTCTTCTCATACTAACATGCCCCAATCTTCTGTGCCAGATCCACTGCTCGTTGTTAACAGACAGAAGACATTTTACGTTCTGACTCTTTAGTTCAGAAAGTTTGATTTTGTAAATGTTGTTTTTTTCTCTTTCCATTAAACAGGATAGTCCCATCTTTCTGACTAACAGCTTTACATGATTTTTGATTAAAGATTATATCATAACCGTTATCACTTAATTGACTTATGGATAACAGGTTATGCATCAATCCATCTACAAGCAGAACATTATTAATAGAGGGAAGATTTCTGTTACCTACAGTTCCAGAGCCAATAATCTTTCCCCTCTGATTGCCTCCAAAGCCAACATGGCCTCCAGGCTTAAGTTCCAGGCTTTGGAACATATGCCTTCTTCCCGTCATGTGTCGTGAGCAACCAGAGTCCAGGTACCATGACTGGTGTTTCTGACTTGCTGCTAAAGATATCTGCAACATGTATTATTTTATCCTTAGGTACCCAGATCTTCTTGGGTCCTGATTTGTTAGTTTTACCAAAACTCTGGTTGAATTTTGGTTTCACAGAGTGCTTACTACTAGTATATTTGATGTCATGTGTGTGACCATACACAAAGTGTGAATTTAGAGGAGTGTGTTTAATAACTAAATCCATGACATTCTTAGGTGTAGGAACCTTACCTTGGTATCCTATTCCTTTCCTGCCGTTTCCGCTAACTCCATAGATCATTGAAGCCATTCTGCTTCTATCTATGCTTTTAGCAAGGAACTTCTGGAAACTATGATCATACTCCTTGATGATCTCATCAGCGTCGCTGGGAGTTTCAGAAATTGGTACCTTCTGAGAGTTTTGTAAAGAGTTTTCTAATTTTGAAATTTTATCTCTCAGCTCAGAGTTTTCCAATTTGAGACTCTCAGACTTATTAGAGTCAGATTCAAGAGTCCTTTTCAGGTCTCTGAATTTAGCTCTAATCTGCTGATAACGTTCCAGAATTTCATTGAGGCTTTCAGCAAGTTCAGCCTTTGTAAAATTAACAGCGAAGTTAGGGAATACCTCTTCTGTGTCTGATTCTGAGTCTGAGTCAGAAGCTTCACTATCATCTGGAATGTTAGCCATGAGCGCTATGTTCGCCCTTTCATCATCTGATTCTGAGTCAGCTTCAGACGAGTCAGAGTCATCCCATGTGGCCATGAGACTTTTCTTCTTTTCTCTTCCAAACTTCTTTTTGGGCTTTTCCCTCTGAAGCTTTGGGCAGTCACTCTTGTAGTGACCTTGCTCATTGCACTCGTAGCAGATGATGTCTTTTGTATTTGGCTTCTTGCTACCGGAGGAGCCTTCAGATCTTCTGTATCCAGAGGAAGAATCTGTCCTTCTGTATCTGGAAGAAGACTCGTTCTGATCAGATCTTCTGGGATTCCTGAACTTCCTTTGTCTTTGCTTCCACAGTTGATTTACTCTTCTGGAGAGAAGGGAAAGTTCGTCTTCTTCTGATGAGGATCCATCAGATGTTTCTTCAACTGCCTACAAAACTTTAGATTCAGATTTTCTGTTAGATTTTAAAGCTATAGGCTTACCTTGCTTCTGAGGCTCATCAGCTTCTAGCTCTATCTCATGACTTCTGAGGGAGCTTATAAGTTCCTCCAGAGTGATTTTGTTGAGATCCTTCGCTAGCTTCAGAGCAGTAACCATAGGCCTCCACTGCTTGGGTAAACTTCTGATTATCTTCTTGACATGGTCAGCAGTAGAGTATCCTTTGTCCAGAACTTTGAGACCAGCTACCAGAATCTGGAATCTAGAGAACATAGTTTCAATGGATTCAGATTCTTCCATTTTAAACGCCTCATACTTCTGAATGAGCGCCAGAGCTTTTGTTTCTTTGACTTGAACGTTGCCCTCATGCGTCATTCTGAGAGAATCAAAGATGTTCTTAGCTGTGTCTCTGTTGGAGATCTTCTCATACTCAGTATATGAGATGGCACTGAGGAGGATGGTTCTGGCCTTATGGTGATTCTTGAAATCACGCTTTTGTTGATCAGTCATTGATTTTCTTTCAATCTTCTGACCAGTTGCATTCACAGGGTGCGTGTATCCATCTGTCACCATATCCCACAGATCAGCATCATGTGCTAGAAAGAAGCTTTCAATTCTGTCTTCCAGTAGTCAAAGTTTTCTCCATCAAAGACTGGAGGTTTGCCGCTGAATCTGTCTCTATCCTCATTGTTGTCATTGCTGAAATGAGAGTTGTTTCCTGCCATTGTGTTTTTCTGACGCTGGATCTTGTACTGACACGGTTAAGTGTTTTAGCTCAGAACCAGGCGCTCTGATGCCAATTGAAGGGGTGAAAAACACAAGAAGGGGGGGTTGAATTGTAAAACTGGAAACTTAAAGCAATTGACAAGATATTTTTATCCTGGTTCGTTTGATCTCAAACTACTCCAGTCCACCCGTCAAGGTGATTTCGCCTCTCTCCAACGAGGTCTTAATTCACTATATTCAACTGAATACAAATCTGCTTTAACAACTGCTAAAGCCTTCTTGATTCAAACCACAATCCGGTTTGTCAAGGCAACACTTTCTTACAAAGGTATAAAATAATGTGTGTGAATGTTTTCTACAAAACTATATCACAACTGTGATGTTTACACAAATGAAGCTTAGAAACTTAGAGTGCTAAACGCTAATGGAGTATCAGAGTTTGTTGGTTTAGCAAAACTGGTAGATGAAGATTATTGTTCAGCTTTTTGCGTGTAGAGAGTTTGGAAGCATTAGCCATTATAATCTTCGAAGCTTGGTTTATATAGCACTTGAGAGGATGAACGTTGAAGCAAATATTCTTGATTCAATGCTATTAACAAGCTTTCCTTTTTGAGCAGATCTTGTCTGGAATGAAGCCGTTGGAATTAATTGACGTTCAATGCACAGTACCGTTGCTTCTTCAATGCACGTTCTGGCTTGGCTCATTCTGATTCTGCTTCGCTGCTGATGAACTATTGATTCTGTATCAGAGTGTTTTACGCGCAGTTCTGTTCATCAAACTTCAGCATGTTCGTGAGTTGATCATCTGATCTTCACGTTCTGATTCAGCAACTTCTGATGCTGGTGTATCAAATCAAGTTCTGACGCTGATGAAGTGATCTTGCATATTTTAATCATCATATCTGCAAGTCAGAGCATAGTGTTTTTAGGCAGCATATAATTCAATCATGAAACATTTAAATACTATATCTTTTCACTTTGTTATCATCAAAACTTAAATATAGGGTACTAGATTCAAACATTGTTCTAACAATGTTTTCAAGGATCTCGCAGGGTAAACAAGAAAATTGTTAGAATTTGAATTTTGTAGCTTCATTGAAGGAACTTCCTGTTGTTGAGAGTCCTTCTTCAAGAGTCAAGGCTCACCATATCGAGTGGGTCATAGCCCCTGACTCAAGTTATCATGTTTGACCTCCACACAGCCTTGGCTAGAGGAAAATAAATCCCCTTTTCCCCTTGTTAGATAGTTGGTTCATCATGACCTGCATCACAAGCCCTTGAGATCCTTGAAATGGTTAAGGAAATTCTATGGTATGATGTTATGATGCGTATGATGTTATGTACGTGGATGAAAAGGTGTGAGGTGTAAGTTAGCCCTGTAATAAGTCCAGTTTAAGGACTATAAACAAAACCTGCAAGTAACTCAATGTTGTCAGATACCAAGTATGGGCAAGTATTTCAAGTTTGAAGGCACGCAAGTCACACAAGACAACCCTTAGAGTTTAGGCCAACATGAAGTTTAGGTACTACCCTCTTTCAGTTTCAGTTGGTTAAGACCTGTCCTAGAAAATAGTAACCGGGTTCTAGAGGATCTCAATATCACTGACTACCCTCAATCGATCATAACTCCAGCGTCGCAATCTTTTCTTGCGGCCAGAACCATCGCGAGAGTTTAGCCTCAATGAGTGTAGCATACTGCTACTGTTCTATGGCCAAGTTGGGTCAATTTAGGGTTCTAAGGTCGGTTGGTGCTTAATGACTCCTCAGAAGACCCATATTCTCCTCATTCCAACACAAGGGATATCGGTACAGACCAAGGTGTCACACCAACGTAGCCACTGCTTCACCCGTGTCGGTCTACGCCGGACAGGTACCTCACAGCTTATGCTACCTAAAGGGTATTCCCCAGATCCGGGTTAGGATCTATGAAACTCCGATGCAAGCCCACAAATATTAAAGCAAACAAGGCATACAATTTAAAACATAGAATGGTCTAATCCTAAGGTACACCTCACTTATTAATTTCCCCAGCAGAGTCGCCAGTTCTGTGATTGGTGGAAATAGAACTGACTGTTTTTTAAGCTGGTTCGCGAAATGTCGCGGTAAGCAAGAGTCGCCACCGTCTTTTATGTTCTCCAACAAGGAAAGGACAAAAGCACAGCAAAATTCCTTTTCGAGATGTTTCTCGGTTCGGGAGGTAGATTTATAGAAAGGGAAGGTGTTAGCACCCTTTCTATCAGTGGTTATCCACGGGCTCTTAGGTACTTGCTCACTATGTTTTCAAAAATTGTTTGCTTTTCTTGTGTTTGTGGGTTTTGAAAAAGTTTAGTTTGAAAACTTCTAGGTAACTCTTGTATCAGTTCTCAAGAGTGTATGATGTATTTGTTTGAAAACTTTTGTTTGAAAGTGTAGGTGCGAAAAGTTGTTTTTGTTTTTTAGAAAGAGAAAGTACCCAGGAGAAATCTACCTACTCTAAGGAATTAAGCTGTGTAAAAGTCCTTTAGACAGTACTATCCCACTATTGAGAAGTAGGTAGCACCGTCGTTGGAGTTATTCGGGTCAATTCGATTATAGGGACATGTGTGGTCACCAAAGCAATAGTAGTACGCCTTAGCGGTAACCCTAATGTCCTAGATCCTTTTTATCCGAGGCAACCATTTCGAGGCAACTGGATCTTTAGACAGGAGGGCGACCTCTAAAACACCCTATACTCAATGACCACGTCGAGGAAACCGAGTGAGGCGTACCCTACGAGTTGGTTTTATTTTTCAAACAAGTCTTGCATGCATAGTTAACAGTTAATAATTGCGGAAAATAAATTGCGGAAAGGGAATCTACGCTATTACAAGGCGTCGGGTATTTACATCGCCAAAAACATAACCCTTGAAAATAAATGCGAGAAAATAAATAAATCGATAAAAGCCCTAATTATCTATTACATTCTCGGAGCAGATACATAAATATAATCAAAATAATAAAGTGCGCGCAAAGAAATTGAATCAGGACGTCCTTAGTGTTTTGACTCTTTTTAAGAAAAGAATGGCATTTTGTCCTTTTTTGCAATTAACATTAAATATTAATCCTAAAACTAATTAATCAATTAATTAACAGAAAAAGTATTTTTTAGTTTTTTAGGTCTTTAATGAAAATAAAAATAAAAATAAAAGGAATTAAAAGTCAAGACCTAATTTCTACATGGATTTTATTTATTGTGAAAACAATTAAAATTAACCTAATTAACTAAATTAATTATATTTATTTACAAAAAAAAAAAATAAAGTGAATTTAAATAATAAAAATAAATAATATTTACATTTTCTGAAATTAATATGAAATATAATTAATTTATGAATTAATAATAACAATTAATAATAGTTAATAAAAGAAAAAAAAATTAAAAAAAAATGAAAGAACAAAGAAACCAGGGGGGGTTGATGGCCCAATAAGGAGGTTAGTTCTGGAAATCTGAAGCCCATTAACATCAAGCCTTGTTGACTTTCTGGAATTGTCCATGCTGGCTTTGACCAGGAGCATGGTGTTCCTTCCCTTGTAGCCATTAGATCTGTGCATAAGGCCACTTGGCGCAATGATTTGTGAGGTGTATGATGAACCTTCCTGTGAGACCTGGACATGATCATATGAAGAAAAATGCAAACAATTATTTTGGGGGACCTGGGAATCGAACCCAGGTCCCAACGCATGCTGAACACTTGGCCAACCACTCCACCAATTTGCACGCTTTGATATTAGGATAAGCAATAAATATAATATATCAAAACTAATCCCTATGCTGTACAAACAAAACAAGCGCGCGTTATTTGAATAAACCAACCAGGAGTCAGCACGTCATCATCGTCTTCCTTTTTCCTGTAAAACACAAACAAATAGCGGGGGTTTTTAACCCGCACAATATAGAACAAGGAATAATAGCGATTAGCTCCCTAGGCTATATAAATATGGCGCGATATGTCCTTTGAATTCGTATGATTCTCACGAGTTCAGTCATGTGCATTAGGGGTTCCAATTTTACTGGATGTGGAAAGCCCCAAAATCAAAGCTTCGGAACCCTAATATTCGTTCATGGTGATTTGTGATTCAGGGCGTTTCAGTCCAATTAACCTATGCCAAAAGCTTTGTACACTTCCTATTAACACAAAACAATCAACAAAAGATGTTAAATATGCATGAATCAATGATTACGATTTTGGAAAAAATTGTTCAAACCGTGAAACTGTTCTTGCGTGTTTCTTGAGCTTTAAGGCTTGATTTTGTTTGCAAAAGGTTCCTCACACTCCCAGTAATGTATTTGAATCACTATAATGCTTTGAATCACGTTGGAACCTGTAAAATAGTTTTCAAGTTTTTCTTGATTTTTCTCAATATTGGCTATGGCTTTCTGCAACAATTCTCACGTCCATGGCATTAGGGTTGAGTTCTGTATATATAATGGACTGAATTTAGGTTAAATCTTTGACCAAAAATCCATGGAATAATGTTTTCAATATTTGATTTTCAATCACATCTTTTTGCATCTTTTTGATTGAGAAAACTTGCTAAATTGGGAGATTCTTGTCCTACATTTTAAATTAATTAAATGAATTAAAAATCAATTAAAAATCCAATTAATTAATAAAAATAAGAAAATAAATTCAATTTAATCTCAATGGGTCGTGCATAGGCCTTGGACAAAGTTTCAAGATGAAATTTGAGGCCCATTAGCAAAAACAAAGTGTTTTGAGCAAAGTTGACTTTTGCAAATTCACAAAAATTTCCCAACTTCTCCAATGCATATCTTGATCGATTTTGATCCTATGAACATGTTCTTGGACATTTTGAAAAGTTCTTGAAGTCCTATAACCAATGCCTTTGGTCCCATGTCATTTGGATTTACCAATCTCAAGTTATGGTCTTTGACTTAAAGTGCATTTTTGTTGACTTTTGAAATTGACCTATAATGTAGAAATTGATAACTTTTTATGAGAGCATTTATTGGACTTGGAATGTGAAGATGAGTTGTAGGAAATGTCATCCCCTTCAAAATGAGCATTGGATGGGATTTTTCTGATGAACCATGAAAAAGGTATGCCCTGGTCAAGATACAGTTGACTTTTCTGCTGTCCAAAAATAGTAACTTCTGCATCTTTGATGATTTTTGAGCCATTCTTGTGGAATCATGATCAAGACTTGATCAAATGATTATTATGGGCTCAAAATAAGATGTTGACCAAGAAGTTTGACTTTTGACTGTAAAATGACCATTTTGCCCCTGCAGTTGACTGTTGAGCAAATAGGGCTTTTGACTGTAAAATTTGACATTGTGAGTCTTGAGACTTGACATGTAGATGCTTGACAATGCATATAGGCCTATGGTACTTGATTGAGCCATTGAAAACCTCAACTTCCTTGAGAGAACCAAAACCCTAATTTTGACTGGCTTAGGAGGTGGTTTGACTGTGCAACCCCTTGAGAAATCTTAAACCTTGAAGAATATGGGAGGGCAAATTTTGGGGTACAACAGTATGCAAATTTTCAGGATTACATTATTTATCCTCTAAGTCATGATAAATATGTAAGACTACCCTCGTGACGTTTATCCTCTAGGTCGTGATAAACACACAAACTTTTCAATTATCTATCCTCTAGGTTATGATAGGTATGCGAATTATCGGGTTTATGTTATTCATTCTCTAGGTCATAATGAATACATAAGTCTATACTAGTGTCGTTTATCCTCAAGGTCGTGATAAACACACAAACTTTTTCAATTATCTATCCTCTAGGTAATGATAGGTATGCAAATTTTCAGGGTTATACTATTCATCCTCTAGGTCGTGATGAATACATAAGCCTATCCCTGTGTCATTTATCCTCTAGGTCGTGATAAATGCACAGGCTCATCCTCGTACTGTTTACTCTCTAGGTTGTAGTAAATATACAAAATCTGTGATATAATTCATTGTGTTAGTCTCCATGCGACAATGTATTATCAAGCTCTATTTTATTCATCACCTAGGTTGTGATGAATAGACAAAATCTACGTTATAAGCTTACTATGTTAGTCTCGAAGCATTAGTAAGTCAATTTTCAAATTAGTGTTATTTATCTCCTAGGTTATGGTAAATATGCAAAAAATCTATGATCTCTTTTAAGGTATTGATAAGTTATCCACGTCTTCGTATCTAAGTCGAATCAAAACTTTTTGTTCCAACTATAGTAAGATGATACGTCATCATCTGTGCCTACTTTCTCAGTACTCTTAGGAACGTTGTACAGTGTATACTTATGATCTTTCGGTCAAATTTTAGGGTCTTCCATTATTCAATAAATCTCTGATTCGAATGTATGAGACCCGTATATTCTTGCACCCTTAAGTTGAAGGATAATTAAATAGGCACAATTGTCATACCCCAAATTTTCCCCATCAAATCTAATAGTATTATCTTTCAATGTTACTATTTCTAATAGTATTGGTCAATTTATTCATTTGGAATGTTTCTGTTTTTAGTGGTTTTAAGATCATAAGATGAGGTGTTTGTTTCAAAATGGACCATCAAAATCTAATGGCCCATTAAGGGTTATTTTAATTCATTTTAATAATAGAAAGAGGGGTGTATTTGTTGCAAACGGGGGGATGTGAAGTCCTATAAAGGGGTGTGTTGTTTCAAATAGGCCATCTAAATTTGATGGCCCATTAAGCTTGTTACCCTTCATTGTTAAGAGGGGTGTAGTTTGGGAGGTTCATTTTGAGCAGACTTTGCCCATTATAGTATTTGGGGCTTATTTAATAAAACAAAAGGAGGGTGTATATGTATATAAGTGTGGTGTTTTTCTTAAATCCAGTGGTCCATTGTTAGAGGCCCATTTTTTAAACTGGAGAGGGATATTTCCTTTGATCAAATTGCTGGCCAATTATGTTTTCTGAGGCCCGTTTAGAATAAATAGAAGGGGTGTAAATCAAATCGGGGGCCCATTAAGGAGTTTGGTGGGCCCAATTAATGTTAAACAGATTGGCCATTTCAAATTTTGTATTAGGGTCCGTGTAAGTTTTTGCGATTAAACTTAGTTTGATTAGGGTAATTACTTAGTTAATATTAATTGAGTCTTTTATTAATTCTTAATTAATCAGGATAGACAACCTAATTTTGACAAAATTCAAAATTAGGGTTTTGTTGGTTACCCAAATCAAACTCAACGTCGTTCTTCATCAATAACCCTAAGCCAACTAAGTTACCCAAAAAAATAAGCATTGTAGAGATTGAAAAGGTAAAAGGCCAGAAATAGAAAAAATAGTTACTGTGGAAATCAAACAAATTTGTATCAAATATCAAACAAACTAACAGAATCAAATCATAACAAAAATATACAGTGTATAATCTATAAACATACAGAATCGTCCATAATTACAAAATCAAATCCCTAAATCAAAATAAATCTTCAATCTTTCCTAACTTCTAATTTGTAACGACAATCTGACAATTTTCCTAAAATATTCTAAATTTAAAACCTATAAATATAGAATAAATTGGTGAAAGATAGGGAGGAAGAAATGAAGAAGTAGAAGACATAGACGAATTTGCCTTCTCGAAGTGAGATATGGGTTTCAACTTTTGAGACCCTAGATCTAGCCGCTGTAGTCACCGCCGCCGCCCTCAAGCCCTTCAAATCACCGCCGCGCCTCTATAATCATCATCGCCACTCTTCATACCTGTAAACTAGAGAAGGAGAAATATTAGCAAAGAGATCAGAACAAACATCAAGGAATCGCAAGTATAGAGGTAATCTGACAAACACTTAGCTTAGGGTTTTCTATGGATTTATGGTCACGATTGATATTTCGGGTTTAGTATTTGGTTTTGGGGGGTTGAGGAGGGAACAATCGCCGCTGCCGTTTGTAGGGGTTTAGGGTTGGAGCAGCGTTTTTGTTTGTGTTCTGCGAGAGTGAGAGAGAAGAACCAAGAGAGAGATAGGTGAAATGAGGAAATGAAAATAATAGAAAACATAAAATGTACTCCCACGCGATCCCGTGTATTCCGCATAACATGGACCCTCGTGATCCCACCATCTAATCTTCATTAAACGTCCCAATACCGTGTACCCACGATAACACTAGGCACTAGCCTATGCATGATCCAAATGGACTTCACCCAGTCTCTTCGGGCTTAGGCTAATTTTTTTTAACACCCCCCTATTTTCTGTTTTTGCTAAACAACGTCAATGCATACCCCCTACACAACTGGGCCTGAATCCAATTTCTAGATTTAAGGCCCTGATATTCACACTCCCAGCATTTTACTACCCAAGGCCAATTCACACCCCCTTACTATTTGGGTTCAGATTTTCTTTTGGGCCTGAATATATTTATAATACATCCCAGACTTAAGTTTTACACCCCCATGGCTTTAATTTATTTCAATTTACTTATTTTTCATATTTTTATTATACATATCATATTTTGCATTAAATTGTTTTTGCATACTTAATAAATGATTACAAGACTTTTTCATTAAAAAATATATATTTTAGATTATAATGATAGTTATTAGTTCAAATCTTTTTTAATAAAAAAATAAACACTAACTTTTTTTTAAGATATTTGCATCAAATATTTTTCAATGAAAATTGCATCATTTATTTGAAAACATCTAACCAACAAATTACTAACGATTTTCTACTAACCTAAGTTCAAACTTATATATATTTTAGAAAAGGATTATGGAGATATTTCTTATTAGCTGCGAACTTCGCCTACAAATTCCGTTATTCACACACCCATACATGGTTCAAGGAGAATTCAAGACATTCCCATAATCCATAAAAAAAAACCAAACAACTACAAACTACGAATTGGGACTCTGATTTCTCATAAGAGGATACATAGGCATACGACTTAAAATCCATCACGAGTTCCCCTAACTAAAAAATTAAAACCATATTCCTAAACCATAAACCTAAACCCTAGTATCCTTGTGAACAAGGTAGATGAAAGGTTCCCAACACCTTCCCTTCTTCTAAAGTGAGTCAAGAACTTAGAATTTATGTATCATCAATTAGGGTTATTCCATTATCTTCCCGTCTTAGGATGAAAATTAATGGTGGCGACTCTATTTTTTTTGTCGGTTATTACATTGTTCAAAATCTATACCACTGGGCCAGGAGCATGTGGTATTAATAACATAGGTCCAATGAATAATAGTTTAAATAACTCACTGAATGCATAACAAAACAGAAAAAGATGGAAAAATGTAAAAGGAGGGTTCACACTGGACCGAACCCTCAGCCTTTTGCTTGCAAATACTTAAGACAAGCGCTCTAACCACTGGGGTGGTGATACATCCATTAACAAAAACAAAAAAAATTAAATAAGTAATAAAGCAAGATATAAAAATGAGACAATGGCTCCACCACCATCATCTTCTTCCTCGTGACATAACAACATTACTATCAATGGTGATTGTTACAACTTTCTCGTTTCTTCATATTTTTAAAAGATGTAAACATCGAACTTGCTCAGATTTTCACAAGGAATTAAAAAGGTCAAACATCACAAGTTTATTTATAATGTAGCTCATGAATTCCTAAGAAAACAAGAAATCTTAACAATTTTCAAAATTAAATTAAATGCTATAGGTGCTCAACCAATGCCTATTTTTATAGAGCTTTCATTCATGGTGTTAAAACACACAAGATAATATCAAGAAATGTTAAAAATGATGCTTATATGATGAAGTTCAAAGTACCATGAAAGTTACCTATTGAAGCAAGGTCTAACGTGTGACCTTTAGAGATGGAAATGATCTCTTTACCTTGTATGATATCCAAGGTACTCAATCCAACTATTGGCTTGCTTTGAAGCAACCTCAAACTTTTAAACCAAGTCAAGTTATGTGAGTGAATGACCACCGATTGGGTGGATCAATGAGGGTGTTCCAATTGTGAATTAATGCAATTAGAAACTTACATATGATGTGTTAGTGGTGATTATATGGTTAGATTGCAAAGATATTGCGAGGGGATGGGAGTTTCGAATTTATGGTATGAAAGATGCAATAATGGAGGTTTTATGTGCAAACTGTGGTGTGTTGAGCTTTGATGTTGGCTTCTATATTTATAGAGGTTGAAAATGGCTCAAGTAACTTGAAGGAATCAAGTTTAGTTCACATG